AGTTTAGATGGCTTGTTTAATGAATTTTCTTTAAAAGTGGATTGCAGCAAGATATACGTCCATACAACTCTTATGTGTTCAGGTGTATTTGTACAATTCTTTCGTTCACTATTATGCCTGATGGTTCTAAATCTTTCTTTAAATTCTTGGCTGGTAATTTTTGCCTTTTGTGGCTGATATTAAGGGCTTTATACGTAATTTTTTTCATATGTCCATTTCCTTCAAGTGTTTCAGTTATTCTGTGGTACTTCTTTATTATTGCTCTGATTGTGGTTTTGGTACTCCATAATTAATTCATACTGCTCAATAGCCATCTTCGTTTTTGTCATATGTTACAAATTCTTTTCTCAAACATGAATCCAACTCCTTTGTCTTGACCATCACGTATTTTGTTACTACAAATTTCTCCTTCAACAGATGTTGGCTGTAATTACCTTTTTTTTCTGGCTATTGACTTTACAATACAGCTTAATTACCATGCAATAGATTTTAATGAAAATTATCAATATTTTTATCACGAATATATATTTGAAATAACTTTAGTTCTTTTATTTTTAAAAACAAAGACTGTTTGTTAAACTACCAGAAATTGTGTATGTTGGTCTTTGTTATACTAATTATGGGCAGTAGTTAGTGCATTACTCCTGTGCCTAAAGGATGCCGCCTCGGTAGGTGGCCACCAGGTGAGGAGTGGATGCTGCCTGAGGTCTACATAACAATTATGTAATACGCAAATACTGCGTAACTTGAGGGTTACACAATATCTAAAGGATGACACCACCCGAGGGTTACATAACTGTTACATGAAAGGCACCAGACTGGCGACAGATATAATGGCGCCATAGTTCCATGAAGTGGCACCAGAAGGTGTGGCTGTTTTTGGGGAGGCGTGTTATCATCGTTCCTCGATGAGACACCACAGGGCACATTAGTATGATGAGTGTGCAGATAGTTCGGGAGTGAACCAAGAAAGGGTGATGTAAACCAATAGATAAACATGTCATATACTTTATAGTAACAATCAAAGTCTTAAAATTAATAATTTATCTATTTGCATAACACTGTGTTTACAATTATCAGTACTGAAAAGTTTTATTCACAATTAGTTTCACTTTATAAGTAAAACTTACATCAAATCTGCTATTTTAACTTATATTTCTTATCATTATCATCAACTTTATAGTTTTTAACTTATATATTTAATTGTAATAGGTACATTGTATAAAGGGGGATGGTGTTTCTATTGGCAGACAGTGGTACTATACTTTTGTAGGATTGCATACAGATTTCAACTTGTCTCAACTTAAGTTTATAGTTTTTATTTATATATTTAACTGTATTACATGTATTTTACACAGATGAATAGTGTTTCTGTAGGCGATAGTGTTACTAACATATTTAATGTATTGTTTATAGTTTTTGCTTCTATATTTAATTTGTATGGCATACTTTTTGCATTTGTTGATGTTTTACATGTAAAACACTTATTGCTAATTCATTTGTTTATATTTCTAGAATTAGTATATTGTATAACATCTATTTCTCCTGAAACGGATGTTTATTTAAATTTCTAAGTGATATACAATAATTTAATTTTTAACTTTATAAGTTGATTTGCTTCACTATAACTTAGCTTTAACGGATCTACGTAAATATTTATGTTTTATCCATTACTATTGTAAAAAACTATTATTCTTTCTGTAGGTATTTTCATGCTGAACACTAAACAAACTACTACATATAGGTGTTCTTTCTGTTTCCATCTGAATGTCATTAACATTGAATGCAAATGATAGAAAGGTCAACACATACAATCACCAAATAGTGTGGACACTTCAACCCTATTGGATATTGTCTAACTCATCAAAGTTGATGGTATGTTGACATTTTACTCAAAGTTCAATATGGCAAAAAAGAAATTTATGAAAACAAAAGTTAAACAAGTCAATTACAATACATAGTATAAGTCCTTAATTATGATTATACATTCATTATATATATTCACATTATACCTAATATTGAAAATAATTTGTTCAAACTCTACATAATCATATATTTTCTACATAAATTAAAAACAGCAGATTATAAATTTAATGTTCATTATATTTTAACTTAACTAGTAATAATCAGATTTTGTATGTTACTGAATTTAAAATTCAGTAAACCTAGCTTATTGTTCTTTTCACTTTACATAGTAACACAAAACATTAAATGTGTGTTCATGATATTCCATTTCTCAAGATTTGACGGAACATGTTCAGTATGTACAGCTCAGTTAATGTACAATTCTTGTATACTTTCTACTCAATTAGACTCCATGAACTGATTATCCATATTTCTAACAAATATTTTTAACCATTTAATACAAGTCTTCATATAGATATGCTATCATCAATGTATGTAACTAAAATCACAAACTGTAAATAAGACTGTTTTCACACATACGGAAACATTTATTCACAAAACTTAGTAAAATCTCAGACTTAACAAGCATAACACATACTGAAACGTTCATTAACAAAACTTCAAAATACACTATTAAACTACTTTTGTAAACATCATAGACTATAAAATACTGAATTAGCTTTCATACATTTTTTTTTACATTATGTTTATAATACTATATCAGTTATCTATATTTTTTCATGTAAATACTCTTAACAATATGTGAAAACAAACACTGAAAATATTTCGAGACATTTTAATAGATCATACTAAAGATATGCCACTACATAAATAAACGAAAAAAAGGATTCACACAAAATTTTACAGATAAAAGTTTTACCTGGCAGTTATCAAAAAGTAATGAAAGATATTTCAATTGGATCGAATTGAAATATTCATAATAAATTTAAATTATTATTAGGAAATGAAATTCTCAGTGTTGGATATACAAGACTTTTCAGTTTAAGAGATATTATTTAGTTTATTTAGTGATTCAATAATTATATATTATTTAGTTTTCATAACTAGAGCATTAAAAATTAATTATTTTAATTTAAAAGTGAGAGTTATGACAAGTTTCATTACATAACTCTGTACGAGTCACATGTAGTTTAATTGTTGTATTAGGCTTTTGTAATATTGTTGATGTCATCTTACTTGAAGCTTCCAAGTTTTTCTTGTTATGTGTAGTACTGTTGCTACTAGAGGGTATAATACGCGCAGAAAAAAGAAGATAGTAAAAGTGAATGTAGGCTGCGTGGTTGTCAGTTTAGCTGTAAAGGGCAATTTCTTAAGTGAAAGTTTCATGGTTTTTATTGTAACAATAGAGATAGAATAGAATAATTCATTTTGTCAATTGGGTTCTAAAGTAATTGAACCAGACTGTGTGGACTTTTGACATAAAAGATAATTATTTAAAGCTTTGGATACAATTGTAGTAACCAACGGGGTTATGTAAGTGAATTTATCACAGATTCCATTGTGATAAAAGAGTAGAGAAAAAATAATTTGTCTTGTCAACAGGGTTCTGTGTGGACTTTTGACAAAAAAGAGAATTATTTAAAACTCTAGATTCAACTGTGGTAATCAACAGTGTAATGATTTTTTTTTGTTTTGTAAATACATTTGACTTGTTTTGAATATATCATTTTAAAACAAGTGGATTGTGTGCTGTCTATTTATTGTTGAAATGTATCACCAACAAGTCACATACACCTACTGTAAAGAATCTGGCCCCTATACAAAAACCTGACATGCAGACATTGGCTTAAATATCATAACAAATATACTTTCTGTATCACTTTTATTTGGTTGTGATAGAATATCTTCAGTCATGCAGACTGGAATATTTCTAATAATCACAATTTTACTGAATATTTTTTGACACTTTTCATTTACAAATAATGAAAATGTCAGTTGAAAGTATAATAGGAGAGGCAGAAAGTAATATCCATGTGATAAAAGTTTTGTAAATTACATTAAAACTAGTACAAAACTTGTAACTGAAAGAAGGTGCCTAAAAAAAAGAAGATGTAAATGTTAGTGGATCCTAATGTTAATAATGAAAAAAGTCAATTCAAGAATCAAATTTTCCTTTAAACACATTTCATATCTGATCATTTAAAATATGGTTTCTCTGTGAATGAAGTAGTACCTATCATGAGAAGGAAGTATAAAATGTGAAGCTAATTTTACAAAATGTTCTTTTAAGGTAATAACTTGGCCTTGAAAAATTTATCAGTGATATGCTTTATGTACATCGAATGATGCATCAAGAGTACCAAGTTTTTATAAAAACAAACAAAAATGGTTAAAGAAACAAGATTATGGTAATGAATCATTTGCTTTGTACTAGAATATCTGTTGATTTAATAAGAGCTTCATACATGGAGAGGTTGTGGAAGGTAATATTTATGCTTCAGTAAACTGAATATATTACAAAGGAGATATTTTTCCCATATACAATAATTTGATATAAAATCATCTACATATTTACATTAGAATCTTTCCTTAATACAAAACACACTAGCAAGAAATGCAGGAAAGGAATCTATCAGAAACTTTGCTTGTTCTGTTACTTGATTGGTCGGTAACGCAAAACTAAGTCACTTCCACTTTTCCAAATAAAATAACGAACTGTCCGTAAATCCATGTTTGGATCTAGAACCTAAAACAAAGAATTGATCACAGTAAAATAAATTAAAATCTGAAAATTTTAAGTCATATTTTTTAAGCTATTGTGCAAAACTAATCAAAGATGAAACATTTTTCTTTACTGTAATGTCAGTAACCTAAAAGTACAAGTTAATAATAAAAGCTATTCTATTCAGATCGCATTCTAATAAAAGATTAGTCTGTTGTTTAAAAAACTGTTTCACGTAATACAAGGCAAACTTTCAAAATGGAGATAGTTCTTTGAATTTCAATAAGCATACAATAATTTGACCAATTATTTCTTGTTTTGCAGTAGTTACTCCCATTCAACAAAACTCTAAAAACATTATCATCAAAATAGTGAACTATTAGCTCTCATCAACCCAGCCGCATTGCCAAAAGTAAATTTGACTATCAAACCAAATTGGAAAAGTAAATAGTATCAATTTATCTACGATGAAAAAGAATAAAATGTGTGGGTATGAATTTATCAGAAGTTAAGATGGGCTGATTTTACATGTATTTGAAATTAATTTTATTAGTAATTTAAATTTCATATTTTAATATGAAGCACAAAGTTTAAATGTGATATTTGCTAATGAGCTTTATATCTTCTAAAAACATTTTGAAAAGAGTTCAATATCTTATCATTTAATGCTATTCACAGAGGATTAGGAAAATGAATTGTTGAAAAGTTAACATTTTCCTAAAATGGAAATGTATTTCTAATAATAATTACCTTCGCTGACACCATAGCTATTTCTAGATCTCCAGGGGTTTCCACTCTTTGCCCATCTAAGCATTGAAAACGTTTGCTCCAGTCTTTTATAACTCACTCGAATGCCCTTGTCAAATTCTAATGTGCAAATTTCTCCACCAACTTCAATGCACCCTCTATCTAGGTACTGTATATAAGCACCTCATTCAGATAATATAGTCACTTTTTGACATAAACTGACTTTTAGTGGAGAGGTTGGGCAGGAGAGTGTCATCAGAGGTAAGTATTATTGGAAAAGCATTTTCAGTTTAGGAAAATGTTAACTTCCAAAACATACTTACCTTCATTGACACTATAGCTAGAATCCCACATTGAGAAGATGGAGGAGACGGTACAGGCATGAACCAAACAGAAAGCATATGTATAGAACAGCAGTGTACCAAGATAAAGATGGTACAAGAGTGGGGGAACTGCACTACATCCAAAACAAGTATGCTCTTCACCAGGAACTCAGTTCCTATATCAAAGGTGGAATAGAATATGAGTAATCATCAGAAAAGGCCAGCCCCAACCAGATAGCCGAGGTTTCACAACTAGGGGTTGGAATTAAGGGGTCATGGTACCTATATCCCACGTTGGTAGCTAGGGCTATTGGACTGCAATGTTATATATACTTTTGATTGGATCCCAATCTGTAGCCATAGAGTGATGCGTTTTGCAACACCGGAATCATGACGAGAAAGTAAGCAACACTGAAATGTACAATCTTTCTCCTCCACCTGAAGAAGTCCAAAAGGCAACACCCCAGGCTCAGAATGATCAAATCGTGTATGCCGTGCATAACCAAAGGAACGAAACTCATCCGGTCTGGAATTATAACATTCATCCTCACTTCCCAACCAAGTGGGCAAGGAGTATTCTGCTTGCCCCTGGAATTATGGAGAGGGCAGTGTCTTCCAGAGAGCAATTCAACCGAGCAGCTATTGACATAGAGATATGACAAAAGATTCCTCTCCTGCAATGATAATACATTATAGGCCATGTGAATCAATTTACTAAGCCACCTAGTTAGGGTAATGGGAGATAAGTAACGGGAAAAAGAAGGATTCCAATGAATGAACAATCGATTCCTACTACCTCGAAATGAGCGAGTATGAGTTACATAAAACTTGAAGGCCTTAATGGGACATAACAAACAGTCAGGATCAGAGCAGTCACAAAGGTGAGAAATGGCGGGCAAATGGAATGGTGAGAAGGATCTTTCCCCTTCCCTAGCTGTCAGAGTCTTGGGCAGAAGAACTATTGGGGTAAAGCAGGACAAATGTAGAATGATAAAGAGTCTGAAGCACATGAATTGCAAACAACTCCAACTGACGACATCCACAAGCCAATAACAACAAAAAATACAACTTAAGAGAAAGGTGAAACAAAGAACACGAAGCTAAGGGCTAAAGGGGAGAATGAGACAATGTATGTAAAACAACTGTAAAATCCCAATTTGGTAATTGAAAAGGTCATTTGGGTCAAAGAATATGAAGGGTTTTTGAGTAGATCTAATAGTATTGAGGATTAAAAAAAAACCTTCCAATATTGGGAATATTGAAAATAGTGGTTAAGGATGCCTTATATAAAGCAAATGTAAGTGAATCAAGACTCCTCTCAAATACCCAAATTATAAAATGGGATATGGTAAATATTTTAGGATGAAGAGGGTTGAAGTTTCTTTTAAGACACCACTGAAGATAAGTATTCCTTTTTCATTGATAAATGAGTGTGGTTGGCCTATGGAGTGATTTAGTCAAATACAGAGAAATCAAAGAATTAAACCCTTATGTTGGGCAAAGGACCACATAGCTTTAAAGCATGAAGATTGAGTTTCCAAACATCTAGGTACAAAATGTCTGATTGAGGTTGTCTCAGAGACTGCCAATGTGGAAGAGGTAGAGGAGGACGTACACCTGCAGATACTGAATAAGTGGAAACCACGTTTGAAGTGGCCAATATGTTGCAACCAAAATAACACAATAAGGAGTGGAACAAACCATAATCAGAAACCAGGGCAACAGCCAAATTGGGGGAAAGGCATACAGATGTAAACCTGTCCAGTCCTAACTGAACACATCTACTGCCAACACTTAAGGATGAGGTATTGGAGACCAAAACTGAGAGCAAATCCACTGAAAAACCTTGTGATGTATCATTCATTCTGTCAGAAGAATCTGCTTGGATCGAGACAAGTGATCTGCAATTAAGTTCATCACTCCTGGAATATGACATGCCAAAAGACTGATACGATGGGAACGAGTCCAGGAGAGAAGATCCAAAGTATGAAAACAAGATTTCAAGAATGTGTGCCTCCTTGATGAGAATTATGAAATACCGCCATGGAATTGTCAGAATGTATCATGACAGTTTTCCCTTCAAGAGAGACAGATCTTGAACCATTGCCTGGTGTACTGCAAGAAGTTTGAGAACATTGATATGGAGGGTAGATTCAACTTCCGTCCAAATACTCTGGAAGTCCTGACCCTGTAGATAAGTTCCCTAATCATGAAAAGATGCATCTGTGCACAGATGGATCTTGGGACAAGGTGATGGAATGGGCACCTCAATAGTAGCATTGTTTCGATCTAGCCACCATTCGCAATCGACGATTTTGCTCCTGAGTAATGAGACAGGATGATCCAAAGGATCGGAATGCATGATTCACTGATTGTGCAGTGATCACTGAAGGAACTTCATATGTGCTCATCCCAAAGAAATGAGAGGCTCGAGGGATGCCCACATCCCCAAAAGATAGAGAACCATCCATGAAGTAAGAAAAGGAGACGGCTCTTTCCATGGTTTGAAGCCTGATAGGGGTTCGATGAGCACTTAAAAGTACTGAAAAACACACCCAGATGGACAAAGATATTGCATCAGTGACAGAATACATTTCTCCAGTCTGATAAGGAAGCCTCTTTTGTGGCTTCTGAAAGGAGAATCTGAAAGTGTTATTCTGCTAAACAAGTGGATAGTGTCAGAAAAAGCCAATCGTCCAAGGAATGTAGATGATGAGAAAAAGTTCAAACAACTCTGCAGAAGACATAAGGCGCTGATGCAAGACCAATAGGTAGAGCCCTGAAATGTAGAACCTGACCCTTGTGCATGAATCTGAGAAACCTCCAGGAAGATTCCACTATGGGAATATGGAGATAAGTGTCAGTAACATTGAACTTGGTAATCCAGAGCCCTGGCACTTAGTGCCATCATAGGATAAAAAAGGATCCAAAATTGGTTGAGTCGAGATAGAGCGATGACTTGATGCCAATCTCCTGTCTTCTTGAGTACAAGAATAAATGGGAATAAAATCCCGGAATAACTGGATCAACCCTCTCTACTGCCCTTTTGACTAACAACTCTCTTATAGCCTGGAAACAGAGTGCTATTCATCGTGAATTTGTTGGAGGTGACAAGGCAAAAGGTTGTGCAGATAAAGGTGGAGGTGATGTAAATTGAATGACCAACCCTAAATCCAGAGCATGGAATACCCATGGATCTCTGGTGAATGAAATCCATATGTCCAGAAAGTGATGTAATCGTGGTCACACTGCTCCCCCAACAATGGGATAGACACCACTGGTGTTGTCGACGGTCCGTCCAAACTGAAAATCCTTGAGAATATGGATGGGCTCTATTATGGGAACCGAAGGAGGAGGTCTGGAAAACTACGAGCCAACACTTCCAAATTAGTGCCAGAAAGGTGAGAAGTCAACGATGATAAAGAAAAATGTAAATGTGCTAAATTAAAACTTGATTCTAATGTCTCTGTAAGTCTAGCAAACAATGTGGGACAGAGAAAAGCAGCTTTCCATAACTCCCTGAGGGCAGAACACAGTAAACAAACACTTATTTAACAAAGAATCTCTACCCAATAAATCCCAAGAACAAACCAGCCAGGAAACCAGAGAAAGAACTGAAGAAAACAATTTGACTGAGGTAGACATCAGCAAAATCTCCAACTCGTCCACAAAATTACCAAGAGGAACATTAATAACTTCCAAAAACAGTTTTATCGAAGACAAATATCTCAGGATAGTCATGGGAGTAAGACAAATCTGAGAAAACTGTGAACAGTTTAACCCTTTCGAGATGGATGACAAGTGTTTGTTGACTTGTATTCAAAATGTTATTAAGCTACTATTTCATGAACTTATGTCAATAACTTTGGTACCAAACTGTAGATTATATTTCAAATTTTAGTACTATATATTACTCAATTTCTTAATTTAAAAGCAATAATAAAAAACAGATAAATATCGATGTTTGTGTGTCATGTGGTATGTTGAATGCAGCACTGGTTCAAATTAGATGTTTTTGAACTCAAAATACTAAGTATATAGTTTTGTATGAATTAGAAACTCAAATTACCGATATTGACAAGCTATACTATAAAATAAGAGCCTTTTATCATTTCAATTTGCTAAGATATTGCTCATGTAATAAATCAAACACAGTAGCACCCCACCCACCTCTCTCTCTCTTCTATATATGACACGAATAACCAATCGGAAGCTCAGAATGTCCTCCTAATGGCTTTTTTAGCCATTTAAAAGGGCTTGTTGCCATTTCTTTTGAACCAATATTTCAACGAGGTAGGGTGTGTCTTTATTCTGCTCAAAATTTCATATTTTTTTAAGACTAAAATACATCTTAGTTACTAAGCTTAATAAATCATAGTGGAATTCTATGGTATTAATATAATAATTTATGATTTTTTAGTTATTCAAATGTATATATAAAACCTAAAAAAATTTTTTTGTTTCATATCCTCCACGTGCAAATTTTCTAAAGGCTTAGCAACCTATGTCAAGCAGCAACCGAGTACAAAGGTCATAGCTAGAAGAGATAATTGTTTGCTTTACTTCTTTAGTTACTGTTCTCTGTTTTAAGAAAAATAAGTTTAAGAACTAATTTCAAAATAGCAGTCTATATATATATATA